CCAACCTTCCTTCCAAGGAGTGGCTGGTGGGTTTGAACCGCCAGCCTTCTGGTTAGCAGTCAAGTGCTTTAGCCACTATGCTACCAGAGCTCCTATGCCACGTATATTCCTAGTTAATTTCGTCAGACATGTTTTCTTTCCACTCACTTGGAGACATCTCTACAAGGACAGGGTGGAATCATTGATAACAATCTACCATCTCTCATGTCTAGCAGGTGCACAGTCGGGATCTTGCTGTTGCTAACTAACTTGAGGACAACTGCCAGGAAAGCAGAGTGAAAAACCATCCTGAGGGACATTAATTCTTGAAAACAGCACGAGTAGATACATAGGGAATGACTAAGTACCGACTTGACCAGTGTCCAGGATCATCCTGAAGAGACCAACGTTGTGCTGCTGCTTCTGCTCTCAGTGGCTCCATGAAGCTCTGGAGACTGGTGGAGAGAGCTGCAGAGCTGGGGTGCAAGGTGGTAGTGGGGGTGGGAGACACTGAGACTGGTATACAAAAGCTCAAAACCCAAAACCCAAACCCACTGCCATCAAGTCGATTCCAATGCACAGCGCCCCCCTTTGATTTTTTGAGGTGGAAAATCTTTACAGAAGTAGATTGGCCTGTCTTCCTTCCTTAGAGTGCCTGGTGGGTTTGAACTGCCAACCTTCTGGTTAGCAGTCAAATGCCTTAGGCACTACACCACCAGCGCCCCCATAGATAGAGAAAAAACTGAATAATAAAAAAAAGACTTTTGAGCACATCCCAGACGAGTCTTCATCAGGGAAACCAAGGCAGGTGCAGTTGTCCTTTTCCCAGAGTGCCAGTGCTCATCAGGTGACTGCGGAACGAGCTTGACTTGTATTTTTGAGCTGAGGTTGTGGTAATGCTATCCACGAGATGGGCAGGACTCCAACGTTTGGACTGGGGCGTCATTTCACTGTTTGCTAGGGGCCTGTTTTCTGGAGCCATGCCTTGCCTCACACACCATGTAAACGTCTTCATCTCAGGCAGAAATTAAATCGAGCTAAGCATCTTACCCAAGGTTGCAGAGCTAGTTGGGGCCTGATTCTATTTCTCTGGACTCAAACCAGAGCTGCCTCCGATTGGATGAGTCTTCAGCCAGGAAAGAGGTGCGTGCTAATATCTGGTGTTATGTATACTGTGTGATAAGAAATTAATCAAAAATCTGTACAAGAAATAGCACAGGAGTCTCTTATAAAAAGTCAAGAACAGCTTTACACAGGGAAGAAATTTCTCTTTGTTGGTTACCAGGGATGAGAGGGGAGGGGAGGGAGAGAAAATAGATGGGTAATTATGAGACAGGTTTGATATGGGTGAAGGGAAAAGCCATATAACAAAAGTGTGTGACTAGCACAATATCACTAAGGAAGAGGAAGACACAGAGAGGTGCCAAGAAAAAAAAAAAAAAAAAACTCTGTAGAGACAGGGAGATTAGTGGTTGTCAGGGGTTGTGGGAGGAGGAGGTGGGAGGTGACAGGTAATGGGTGAACGGTTTCTTTACGGGTGACAGCTGTTCAACCACAAAGTGATGATGGACTTTGTTATATATGCAGAGAGTCACACATGTACACAAGGACAGACATATATGTGCATATGTGTGTGTATAACAGAGTCACAAGGAGCCCTGGTGGCACAATGGTTAAGCACTTGCCTGCTAACCGAAAGGTTGGTGGTGGTTTGAACCCTTCCAGCCTCTCCTTAGGAGAAAGGAAACCCTATGAGGCATTTCTAGGAGCTCTGGTAGCGTAGTGCCTAAGGCACTTGACTGCTAACTAGAAGGCTGGCGGTTCAAATCCACCAGCCACTCCTCGGAAGGAAGGTTGGGCAATCTATTTCCATAGTGATACCACCTCAGAAACCCAAGGAGGGGGTCGCTATGAGTCAAGTCAAGTCAATGGCAGTGACTCTGGTTTGGGCTTTGCTTCTGTGAAGATTGACAGCCTTGGAGACCCTGTGGGGCAGTTCCACTCTGTCCTCTAGGGGCGCT